TGGTGGTGGTTCACTTATCATGCGATAACTGTCTTCTCCGGATTGCAGTTTAGGCTATGTATCCGGATCCGGATCCAACGAGTCTAGCCGTAACCTCAAATTTTCGTTGGCATTCACGCGGGTTAGCATGTGTTGACATTTTCACACAGGGATGCACATGGTTGTAGTCTCATAAGAAGTCAGGAAAATTCACCCGAATGAGCAATTTTTTCGGCGAGAAGGGGATTGGGGGCCTACGGCCGATGATATCATGTATGAATAAGGTCGTTAAATCGGTCGGTTGGTACATAACCGCCGGGAATACGAAAGTGTGTTCAAACTGCATCCGTGCCCAAGAGAAGACGGCTCTCTAGATTGATGACTACCAAGCTGAAGAAGATAGTTTCAAGTAACTCGGGGCGATGCTGCTGTCAAATTGACAGAGTAAGGATGACGTTATCTGCCGAATGGATGCTGCTCGTCGGTTTTTATCAAGCCTTAGAAAGTGCCTATGGACTGGACATGACATCTCCATCGCCAAGAATATTCGCATGTTCCGTGCATCCGTCCGGTCTGTCCCCTGAGGCTGTGAATGCGGAGCAATGCGCATGGAAGATGAAAGCTAACTAGAGGTATTTGACCACCGCTGCTTGAGAAGTATGCCGAATACATCTAAAATGTGACAGTTCGCACTCGCTGCGACAATATTATATCATGTGTTTGCAGGACAGAAATTAGCCTATTTGCTTGGCTTTGAAGCTAAGAGATCAAGGGGAACTACCGTTGCACCACTGCGTGGGCTCTGGTCTATAATAATGTTTCAGAACCGTCCGGTATTCGGTCCGGCGTTCGACGAGGCTCTATCCTGTGCCCCCTTGTCCACCTACGCTAGATTCTCGGGAAGGCCCCACGAGTAGGGGACGATGTGGAGCTTTTAATCGCACCCCAGCTGATTGACCTCGACTATGCTGATGATATCGTCTTCCTAACTTCTGGCTTTGGTGGTCTTCAGTCTATGGTGTCTTGGGTCAGTGAGGTTGCTAAATTGGCTGGTTTCTCCATAAATGTTAGGAAGGCCAAAGTGTTTTCAAGCTGCATCACTTCCAAAAAGAGGCATCTCTCGAGGTTGATAGCTGTAAACTTGAGGAAGCAGACAGTCTTAAGTACTTTGGGGTGAGGCTGCCGCCGAATGAACAGAGCAAGGATGACATTGTGACCCCG